GATCCTTGAAGAATTTGAAGAGTTGTTTCCTGAACTGGTCTGTTTGTTGTGGATTGGTGTTACATAGGAGGATAACTCCATTGTCTCTGTACAGACCAGTGTTCTTACTATCGGAAGTGTACCTAAGTTTTCACAGTAGCAGAATGCCAACTAGTTCACAAGCTATATATATATATATATATATATATATATATATATACACACACACACAGTGACACGCATAAGTATTGGATGCATGTTATTTTCTGTTATAACTCTAGTTTATGTTCGCCATTTTGCCTGATATTTGGTAAGTAATATCTCGTAAAGTTGTTTTAGTTGTATGTGGAAGGAAAATTAAAAACTCATTGTTGTGTTGAAGCACGAAATTCTGAACATGTCCTAAAGAAGTTGCAGATTTCTGAAGGTTCTTCTCTAGAATCTCCCTGTACATGCTACCATTCAATCTACCATGGATAACTTGTAACTCACCAGTGCCCTTGGATGAAAAGCATCCCCATATCATAATGAAAGCACCCCCAACCTTAACTGTGGGGATGGTATTGTGCTTGTTGAAAGCAGTGCCATTTTTTCGCCAAACACTTGTCGCTGTGTTCCTTCCGAATAGTTCAACTTTCGTTTCATCTGACTAGATTACCTTTTTCCAAAACTGCATACCTTTCTTTTCATAAGTTTCGGCAAACTTTAATCGGTCTTTGACATGTTTGGTTTTCAATAAAGGCACTTTTCTTGGTGATCTTGAATGAAAGCCTGTACGATATAGAGCTCTGCTAATGGTATCCTTACTTACATTAATTCCAGCACCCTCAAGATCAGTTTTAATTTCAAAACAAGTAATGAAGGGTTTTTTTTTTTTTTTTTGCACATTTCTGGTGATCCACCTTGAAGTACTCTCATTTATTTTTCTCGGTCTTCCATTTCTTGGAAGGTTTGCTGTACCGTCGCCATACTTCTTATACTTTCTGATGATATTTCCTACTGTACTTAGTGCTAGATTCATTTCTTTGCTAATTTTTCGGTAACCTTGTCCTTCTTTGTGATGTTTAATGATTCTATCTCGCATATCTGTGGATAATGTTTTTGCCATTTTTAATCCTTGAATTGCAGAATGCACATCAAAGAGTCAGATGATTAGTAGCACTATCTTGTAAACAATTGTGTGCTTCTCTGATTGGTCAGAGATAACATTCCAATACTATTGAAAATTTGAATATTTAAAGTCTTTTAAAATACAAAGTTTCAATTGGAAATTTGAAAAAAGTGTCATGTATCCAATACTTTTGCATAGGGTAATTTTGAATTTTGATAAAAAAAAAAAATGGATTCAACCTTGAGTTTTTAATTTTCCTTCCACATACAACTAAAACTTTACGAGATATTACTTACCAAATATCAGGCAAAATGGCAAACATAATCTAGAGTTATAACAGAAAATAACATGTATCCAATACTTATACGTGTTACTATATATATATATATATATATATATATATATATATATATAAAATGTTAATTCAAACATTATTTAAAAAAAAATTTTTTTTTTTTGTTTAGTTTTGTTTTAGTGGATACCTGAGTTTGAATATTGAAGTAGCAGATATGGTCTTTGTTTTTTTTTGTTTTAAAGTATATTACATCTCATGGCCTGCACCCTCAAGAAAACTTAAAAGAAAATGTGCTCTCCAGCAGAATCCAAACATTTGTCCGCAATAGAAGCCACCGTCTGATCTAGCATGTTTTCGATAGTTCTACCACAGAGACTGTTATAGCACAGCAATGTTTTATTTACTTTTTAGATACCTCACTGAAAAAACAGCATAGCATGATGAAAAAAATGATCTAAACTTAATAAAAACAAAGTTTTTATTGTCAATGTTTATTATTAAGAAGGAAAGATCAAAGTATTTTTTTATTATTTTATTGAACTTTTTGAGCCTTTTTTAGCATGTTTGAAATTTTAGTTAAAAATCTTTTCTTTTTTTGTGTGTGTCAACGGTCAGCCAAAGATTACTATGGATGTTTTAGCACCTTTTTTATTTTTTTTTTTTTTTAAGGTAAAAATCACATTCATTTGGAAATTCTTGCAAAAATCAAATAATAGTTGAATTTTAATGAAACCTTCAGGACTTATTCATAAATGAATGAAATTATTATTTTTTTCCTTTTTTAGAAAATCTTGGTAAATTTTTTATTTTTTATTTTTTTTACATCCGTTACCCTCCAATTACTTAATTTTATCAAATTTCAAAAAATTAAAATTTCAGCCACTACATATTTATATTAGTTAAAAGCAGGACTACTTGGAAAATTTTAGTAATTTTGCTTTTGTCAAGCAGGGCCACCATTTACTGAAAATCTGCTCTGAATCATAAAATAAAAAATGCAATAAAAACTATGAAATTATTTAATTAAGAAAGCTTTTAATTGCTTTTATAAATAAGTTATCTTAAGGGCATGATGAATAATGAATTTTTACAAAAATTGTTTTCAATTTTAAAAGTTTTAAATTAATTTCAGCAACTTAGTTTTTATTTAATAATAATATAATCTATCTTTACTATTCATAGATAGTAAAGCTTATTGCGAGTCTGCAAATACCGAGATTTGTAAAAGAATTTTGAATTTATTTTTTTATGTATGTAAATGTGCCTATTTTTGAAAGTGTGATAGACCATACACAACATTATCAGAAAATAAGATTGGTAACTATAGTAGATCTAAAGTCAACATTCCTAAAATTAGATTATGGAGAATATTTTCCAACATTTTTAAGATGACTGGGTACTTAAAAATTATATAAAATAAAGGTACTCTTGTCATTTTCTTAAATTGTGTTTTAACAGATAAAGTCTCCGTAGAACAACAATGAAGCTGTGCTCACCTTTATGTCATTTGTCAGCATGCATCAAATATGTAAACATTGCTACTGTCGGTTAAAAGTACAGCTACTGTTTGTTTTAAAAAACACATTTCTGTGTTATTTTAAACTTAAAGCAAATAAAATTTGTTTCAAGTCAAAGTAATTATACTTTAAATCAGCTAATATTCCTCAAAGTTTCAGAAAAGTATATTTTATTTTTGGAAGATTTTTTTTAATAAAGAGAATTACATTGCAATGAAAAAAAAATAATCAATTTCAATCAATATAATTTCTGTTTGAAATACATTATTTTGAATACTGGAAATAGTAAATTTAATCCTTTAACTTTCAATTAAAGCTAAAATGAAACCTTCAGGAAATTTTAAACTTTAGGTATCGTAAATTAGTGGAGATACCTATTTTTAAAGAATGCACCCACCCCCATTCAGATTTTCTAGAAAACTCATGTCCACTCGATTTCATATCCAAAACAAAAACTAAGCAATTTCTAAAATGTATACGTGGGTGAGTTAAAAAGTAATGCAATTTGTTTTACTATATAAGAGATAAGGAACTTGAACACATTGTACATCAAAATGCAGCTATACATCATAGGTTCACATCCCTTTCAATGGCAGTGTTCCACTTACAAATGTGGGCATGTATTCTAGCTTTGTAAATCTCTGCTGGCTGCTGATGTAGCCAATCCATTGCAATAGTTTTCCACTTCTTTATCACCTACCGACTTAGCAAACAAATTGCTTCAATTCTCTTTGGTCTGGTGAAAGAGGGGGGCAAACATTATGGCGGTGAAGAAGTAAAAACTGCTGTAAGGAATTGGCTATATCAGCAACAAGCTGAATTTTATGAAGCTGGGTTGCATGTCCTCATTTGTAGGTGAAACGTGGCCATTGAAAGAGGTGGTTGTTAGCACCAGAAAGATTTTTACAACCTAAAAATATTTTTGGGCTTTAAATAACCTCCAAAGGGTTGATAAGCCATAAAAAAAAAATCAATTAATCAATCTGGTCTGGCTTCTTGCTTTCCAGTCAACTTTGCTCTTGAAATTGAAATGCAATGTCAATCCTTATCTTCTGTATTCTTAATTCCCACTCTTTTATTCTTCTCTCTCTTTAATAGTGTTTTTTCCTTTTCTTCTATTCTTTCACACCTTGCACCTTAGTGACTTTATTGCCTTGCTTGGGGAGAAATGATTTAAAAAAAGTAAATTAAACCACACTATTATCAACAAACAGGAATAGTTAATCAACTTTCTCATTTTTAATTTTAATTACTGTATATACTTGCGGATAGGTCACCCCACCGGATAGATTGCACCCCTACTTTATGGCTTAATAATTGATGATTTACTGTTGACTCGCAGATAGGTCGCACTATAATCTGGGGAGTTACACAGCCCTTTTTAAACGTAAGAATTATCAGATATCTACCTTTTTATTTCACAACTTAGAATTATTAATACACTTATGCAGTTAAAATACAAAATAGTGCAAACGTTTTGGGTACTAGATTCATGCATTTTGTTTTTTTGTAAATAAACACTTAAGAACTCCTTTTAATGTTATATGAAACAACCATTAAAGAAAATTATCTCATAAAGAATATATTTCTTTTCTTTAAAGTCATATTTTCCAATGTATTTTTGATAAAATATATATATTTTGCAGAATGAATCGTGGGACTATTTTTTTCTTTGTCAATAAACATCTACACGTGGTTCCTTAACTTATGTATGATCAGGGTTTCAGGCTAGTGCGAGGATCCCCGATCAAATGGTGACTGATGGATCAATGAATATTTCATAATTTTATTTATTTATTGTGTTGAATATGTGAATCTAGCTGCATGAGGTAAGTTTAAAGCAGTGAGTCAGTATGATAGATAAATTATTTCTATACGGAGAAAAACCACAGCTTTAGTGTTTTATCGATATCATTTCTGATTTCTCAGAAATCATGATGGCAAGGTAGTGTTATTTTTACATTTATGTCAAGTGGATAGGTCACACCCCTAATATTTTGAAATTTTTGGTAAAAAAAAAGTGCGACCTATCTGCAAGTATATAAGGTAATTGCAATTCATCTTTTTAATGTCTCTTTAACTTCTTTTGCAGTCTGGAATGGGAAATACAGTTGACAAACGGCAATCATCGGAAGAGGTATCTGAAGAGAGTACAACAGACAGCCTAAAGAATGGATTCCCTCATGGCTATCCTGCAGATGTTCCCCCCTTAAATGGCACTGATAGTGAAGTTAATGTCATCCAGGATGAGTGTCTGCCTGTTGTCCACAATGGTACGGAGTGCGTCATTGACGACGATAATGACTCGTGTGGGGACATATTCTATGATGCTGAGGAAGCCGATGAGATGCGGCTTGCCAGCTACATACCACTCCATCTTGATGAGGATGGTGATGATGAGGACGACGAAGATGGAGACGACGAAGATGAAGAGGAGACGAGCAGCAGTTCGCATGAGCTTCTAGCTGAGACTTTGCGGGCAATCCGTGAGAAAAAATTGCTAAAAACAAAACAGATTGAAATCCGCAATTTGGAACTCCTTAACACATCCTGGGTGGATGCTGCCACCCAGACTGATAAGGCCTCGGAGACAAATGGTCAATTGTTTGATTCTGAAGCTGGAGTTCAGGCTGAGGTGCTCAGTAATTTGATTGTTCAAGTGGAAGAATTATTGTCTCATGTATCTGGTGGAGGGCAGGATTACCCATCAACTCTTTCTTCTTCTCTGCGGCTACAACTACAGAATGTGGCCTCACCAGCCTGTGAGTAGATGTGATTTGTTTTATATCCCTGTCTTTGTACCTTTCACCATGTTTTGAATGATAAGCTTTCCGTATTTTATCAGGGGAATGTTTCATTTGGTCACCTTTGTGAAACTTTAAAATGAAATCTTTTAATTCCATCATAGGAAAATTCTTCCTTTTTTCTTCTCAAGACAGCCAATGCCTTTCTCGTTGATTAAAGTGAGGTTGATAGGAAACTTTTTCAGCATCGTTTTGTCAAAATCTGGTGTGGAGGAAGCAGAAAGAAGTGGTGGGGAAAAATGACTGATTGAAACTTAACCTCCTTTTCCTGCTAACAGGTCATGGTCAAAGTAGAAAATGAAAGAGACAGAAGATAGAAGGAGGGGGAATTTATTGGGTGAAAGGGTGGAAAGGAGTTGCATTGTTATAGAAGAACAGTTGGAAGAATAAAGAGGAATGAGGAATGATGCTCTGGTTTGCTTTTAAATACTGGTGAAGTGGAAACATGGAAAATGAAGAGTGCAAGTGGCATTTTATACAAATGTAAAGAGAATGATTTGAATATCAATTCAAATGTTCACAACATTAATTTAAAATAAGACTCAGTACAGTAGTAGAGCTATAATTCTTTATCATAGAATCTCATCAGGCCTAGCATAACATAAAAAAAATTCAAATAAACAAAAATTCCAAACTTGCATATACAATTAGAAACTTAAATCTCCAAGTAAGTTACATTTGGGGAGGTAGACAAACCATACCTTGTATATGTGGGGTCTATGGGGAATTTTTGCCCAAACCTATGGGCTTCGGATTCGCCCCATATAAAGAACCACCTTGTGCCACATCCTGCTTTGTGGGGAGGCATGGTAAATAACCTTAGTCCAGATCTACTTTGTCTATATGGAAGATCATTGGGTTCACTTGTCTAACCTAGTTTTTCTGCATAGACGCTAATTCAGGGTTTGTAAACCTTTTTGCTTTCTTACCTACAAATTTACTTTACTTAAATTGTTTGCCTGCTGGTGTGATACCATTTAATTTTTGCTCCTCTTTCTTTCTATTGCAAATATTATTAATTCTGTTTGTTCTTTATTGTTATTTATTTTGCATTTGGACCAAGACTTCTATCTTAACAGGTTATATGCACATTCCATCATACTAGCTTGATGCGGAAGTTTCCAGCATTATTAATAAAATCATTTATTCATGGCATTATTTATTTATTCATGTATGTTTTTTAATCATTTCACCCCAAGCAAGACAATAAAGCTACTAAGACACAAGAGGTTACTGGAAGTGAAAGAGAATGCAAAGATGTTAGAAGGAACCGGAAACCTGATCCTAAACAGGGAACAAGGGATAAACCTTTTACTCTTCTGGTCAAATTATTAGGGAGGAGTGTGGACTGGGTGATATGCAAGGTGGGAGTGCCACTAGCATGCAAGGGTTTACAGAGAATGAGAGCAAGAGTAAAGAGGGGTATTTGAATAAAGTATAAAGAGAAGGACGGGGACCAGGATCAAGGTATCAGAAGATGGCGATTGACATTACATTTGAATATTTGAAGATTATAACTATCAAGGAAGCAAGTAAGGGGAAAGGACTTCAACTCTCTGGAAGTGCGAGAGAAGAAGCTACTGAGAATAGAAAAAAAATAATTAGTAAATAAAATTTCAGATGCTGATGTTAGAAGTATAGAGTCAAAGAATAGAGATAACTGACATCCATTAGACATGGCACATGGAACTAGAACAGTCTAACCTGATGATTTAATCTTTCCACAGACACCCAGTCTCAGCTAAATCACCATCTTGTCAAAGGAAACTACAACAACAACAAACAAAGAGGAGATCGCTCCAAACAGACTTCCTTTTATCTATAGACAAGAGGAGACAACTCAACAGTCTTAACTCAGATTAACATTGCTGGTGTCTTCTTGTGAAAACTAGAGTTCCGAAAAAACAAAAACAACAAAAGCAATACAAATCTTCATTGCAACAAGTCTCTCAGAATTTCAGAAGAGGCTCCCATCTTCGTCAGACAATCTGCAACCTGTTCTCAGCCCCTGATCCATTCAGTTTGAATTTCCTTCTTCACCATCATTTCTTTCAATCTGGCCACATCAACTCTCAGACACCAGTCACTCACAAGATTTGATGAATTTAAAGTCTCTACCAGAGATGCATTGTCTGTTTTACAAAGAACTTCAGGCAATCTAGGTAGTCTGAATATCTCCTGAAGCATGGCGGCTATCAATATACCAGCATCAGCTGCTTCACCAAGTGCAAGAGTTTCAGAGGCTAATGGACTTTTTGTTTGATGACCAGCATATAGGAGCCATTCTGTTCATCTTGCCACAAACAAAGATGATAAAACCACCTTGTGAAGATCCATCCTCCAAGCTAGCATAGGTGGCATCTGAATAACAAACAATATTCAGATCCGAAGGTTTCCCAAGCTGGGGAAAAGATATGGAACCTGTCCTTGATTTTAACTTTATTAGTGACTTGTTTGCCTCGAAGAGCAACTTCACCTTTGGAGATTTTCCAATATTACTCATTCTACACACATCAAATGATACATCTGGTCAAGTCTGGGTGGATACCACATCATTTGGCCTGTCAATCTCTTTAGCTCCGTCTTCTTATCTTGACTCAATTCATCATTTTTCCTTAATGATCTTCCTTTCTTTACGTCTATTGGGGATATAGCTGAAGCATACAGATTTTGATCTATTATAATCCCATTTTTTGTTTGCTTAACATTCAATCCCAAAAATTTAAATGTTCCACTTTCATGCTTTCCAATTTTAAATATCTTTTTCAATTCTCCGATCACATTTTTTTGAAATAGATCATTTCCACATGAATATGAAATCATCTACATGTATTGCCAGAATTCCTACCAAGTCACCAGTGGCATTGTGCCAAAGAAACAGTGCATTGTCGTATGAACTCACCATTCCCTTCAAATGAGTTAACTCATGATTAATTCACTTGTACCATGAATGAGGTGCATCATTTAAACCATAAATGCATCTTTTCAGCTTCCATACCTGTGATTCTGGACACACATCAGATGGTGGTCTAAGGAATACTTCTCTTTCCAACATATTACCTTACAGAAATGCTGAGGTAAAATCAAGAGTCTCCACCTGTCACATCATAACCGAGGCCGTTAACAATACGAGACGCATGGCCTCACGGCTGCATGTTGGGGAATCTGTTTTTAAGTTATGAGAATCTTCTTCATAACCATGTGCAACAAGACGAGCCTTCATTATCTTTTTGTCATTCATAAATTTTTCTGTTATCACCCATCTTGTTGATATACATTTTTGCCTCATGTCAGGCACACATTCATATACTTCATGAACTTTCATATTTTCCAATTCCTTTTTCTTTGCATCAATCACATCTTGTTCTTGTTCAGAAGTAAGCAAAACTGCATGTTCCTGATTACGTATTCCCTCTGTTACATGAGAAAGTTTTCTCCATTGATCAACATGATCCCAATTGACACAAAGAGGATCTTCATTCTCTGCTTCTGGTTTTATATTTAGCCAATGGCTATATTTTCCTGTTGACTTTGGTTGTATGCTCATAACCATTCCTTTCTTCCACTCATCACTCCCTCTCAATTTATATTCTACAATTTCATTTCTACTTGGTTTTATACTGTTATCTTTCACTTCCTTTCTATTGCTATTAGAATTGTTATTAATATTGTCCTTCATCTTTCTCCTCCAACACTTCATTCATCTCATTTGAAGAATTTGTATTTTCTTCATTCCTTGGACTTCGCAATTCCTTGTCTACCTTCATCAAGCGACATGGATGCATCCTGAAAAATGCTCCTCCATGTCTGATCAATACACATTGACCTTCTTTCCCCAGAACTTTAGCAGGACCATGCCATCCGTTGTAGTTTTGTCTTCTATAGTAGACATGGTCACCTGTCACAAATCCTTCATCCGCATAAGTCCTTACATTATATCTCAAGGCTCTCTGAATTCTTTCACTTGATTCGGCTTCCATGAAGCTTTTCCTTGCTGCATGTAGGGCATTTAGATTTATTCTAACCATATCACTGGTTGTTGCAGTTTCCAATTCAGGTAACCGATCATTCAAAACTGATGGGGTGTTAATATTTGACCCAAATTCAAGCTCATTTGGACTATATCCAGATCGATTTTGAAGTGCATTTTTGGCACTAACAGCCCAAGCCAAAGCTAGTTCTGGCTCACATTTTTCATCATCTAATGTTTTTTCCATTGCTTCAGCAATTATTAGATTATGACGTTCCACAGTACCATTGCTAAATGGACTTTCTGCAGTTGTCGTGCATGTTTCAATATTTAATTTTTCGTTCATCTGTCGGTAGCCCTCATTATTAAACTCTCCTCCATTATCACTTAAAAAACCGTTTGGGAGCTCCAAAATAAGATATCCACATTAAAAATATGTTGCGAATAATTTCTTCGCTTTTCTTGGTCTTAATTAATCTGGCAGCAGAGTATCTAGTGGATGTATCAATTAGGTGTAGAATCCAGCATTGGTTATGTTGATATTCCTTTAAATCCAAACATACAGTGTCATTAAACCTGTTACCAAGAGCCAATCCTACAACTGATCGAGGAGGGGGTCTTCTAAACCTTTGGCAAACTGAACAAGAATCACAAACATCTTTTATCTGATTCAGAAATTCCTTGTCATGAAATGCCTTACTACCTTTAACCAAAGCTATTAATTTTTCTTTAGATGCATGAGCAAACTGTCTATGTAATTTCTCAGCCTTCTTCCTTTTTTCCACTCAAGAACATCCTTTTAAAGTCTCACAATGTAAGACTATGCTTGGTGCATTTTTAACCTCCAAAAGCATATTAGTTAGTGGCAGACTATAATGTCCAGAAGTTGTTGTTTGCAATTTAATATGTCTGCCAAAAATGTGACAGCTGCTGTTTTTAAAATTTAGTAGTATTCCTGCAGTTTTCATTGATTTATGACTTAATAACA